ACATCTGGGTATCTTATTGATAGTAGACATTTTGCCCATCCAGTTGGTCTTTATCAATACAAATTCCCAGAACATAACATGAAGATTAGTAGAATTATGTACAGAAATGAGGTAATCAGTCCCTCAACCTAGGAGTAGGTGCGAAGAGCACCGTAGTCGTGGAGATTCTGAAGCAGAAGCAAGGCACCTGATGCTTATATACAGTGGACCCCCGGTTTACGATCAGCTCCCAATGCGACCATATTATGTAAGTGTATTTATGTAAGTGCGTTTGTATGTGTATGTTTGGGGGTCTGAAATGGACTAATCTAATTCACACTATTCCTTATGGGAACAAATTCGGTCAGTACTGGCACCTGAACATACTTCTGGAATGAAATGATATCGTAAACCGGGGGTCCACTGTACTAACGTCAGGTGGAAATGGGACGGGTAGCAGACGAGGGCATAGTCTCTGGTAGGCGGGATTCCCAGTGGGAAATAGGTCCTACCCAAAGAGATGGGTTAGTTGTAGTAGTAGTTGTCCTAGTCGTGAAGGTTATGTACATGTTCTCAGAATCAAGATTCCATGATGTTGCAGTGTCTGACAAGTTGTGTAAGAATGGTAAAAAATACCGACAAGATGAAATTAAGACACATGTGCAACATCTGGGTATCTTTATTGTAGACGTTTCACCATCCAGTGGCTTTATCAATACAAATTCCAGGACATAACTTGAAGTTAGTAGAACTATGTACAGAAGATGAGGTAATCAGTCCCTCAACCTAGGAGTAGGTGCGAAGAGCACCGTAGTCGTGGAGATTCTGAAGCAGAAGCAAGGCGCCTGACGCTTATATATACTAACATCAGGTGGAAATGGGACGGGTAGCAGACGAGGGCATAGTCACTGGTAGGCGGGATTCCCCAGTGGAAGTAGGTTCTACCCAAAGAGATGGGTTAGTTGTAGTAGTAGTTGTCGTAGTCATGAAGGTTATGTACGTGTCCTCAGAATCAAGATCCTACTATCTTCAAGTTATGTCCTGGAATTTGTATTGATAAAGCCACTGGATGGCGAAACGTCTACAATAAAGATACCCAGATGTTGCATATGTGTCCTAATTTCATCTTGCCGGTGTTGTATACCATTCTTGTACAACTTAAGAGAGATAAACTTATGATAACATTTTGGTTTGAGTTGTACTGAAATGTGTGACTTATTATTGGTCCAAGTCAGACTGAAACGTTGTCATAAGTTTGTCTTTCAAGTGGGGGTTATTTGTGTATTGTTCCAGTTACGTATTATGATTTTTTTTTATTCAGTACTTTCTTCTTTTATTGTGTGGTAGATCTTTCTCTGCTCCTGTTAATGGTTCACCTTTTGCCCCTTTTTTCCATCAGTTTCACCTCAATATGGATTATGAACACATTTATTCACTCTACTACAGCAGTTTTCACCTATTACTTAGAACAAGCTCTTTTATTTGTAACCATTGAAAATAATTGTTTGCCATTTAGTTGTCTCAAAAAATTTTTGTGCCTTAATGTTTCCCATTTTTTAAATGTCTTGATTTATTATTAGGGATTTTAAAAAAAAATTTATATTGCTCAAAACACTAAAAGTTTATTCCTTATGCATTCCTTTCAGATTGCTGGAGAGTTTAGTTCGTCTGAGCCAGGGTCATGCAAGATTGATGATGCATGCAGAAGTGTCAGTGGAAGATGCTATTGTGGCTGTCACATTGATAGAAGCTTCTATGATTGGAGCTTCACTGATCACTGGGATCAATCCTCTTCACACAGCATTCCCACGGTCCCCAGAGGAAGAATATAAAACTCAAGGTTTGCATTTTTTGAACATTAAAAATGGTATAAAATACTGACGGGTTGTTAGGTAAGACACATACCTGGAGTTTACCTGGAGAGAGTTCCGGGGGTCAACGCCCCCGCGGCCCGGTCTGTGACCAGGCCTCCTGGTGGATCAGAGCCTGATCAACCAGGCTGTTACTGCTGGCTGCACGCAAACCAACGTACGAGCCACAGCCCGGCTGATCAGGAACTGACTTTAGGTGCTTGTCCAGTGCCAGCTTGAAGACTGCCAGGGGTCTGTTGGTAATCCCCCTTATGTGTGCTGGGAGGCAGTTTGAACAGTCTCGGGCCCCTGACACTTATTGTATGGTCTCTTAACGTGCTAGTGACACCCATGCTTTTCATTGGGGGGATGGTGCATCGTCTGCCAAGTCTTTTGCTTTCGTAGTGAGTGATTTTCGTGTGCAAGTTCGGTACTAGTCCCTCTATGATTTTCCAGGTGTATATAATCATGTATCTCTCCCTCCTGCATTCCAGGGAATACAGGTTTAGGAACCTCAAGCGCTCCCAGTATTGAGGTGTTTTATCTCCGTTATGCGCGCCGTGAAAGTTCTCTGTACATTTTCTAGGTCGGCAATTTCACCTGCCTTGAAAGGTGCTGTTAGTGTGCAGCAATACTCCAGCCTAGATAGAACAAGTGACCTGAAGAGTGTCATCATGGGCTTGGCCTCCCTAGTTTTTGAAGGTTCTCATTATCCATCCTGTCATTTTTCTAGCAGATGCGATTGATACAATGTTATGGTCCTTGAAGGTGAGATCCTCCGACATGATCACTCCCAGGTCTTTGACGTTGGTGTTTCGCTCTATTTTGTGGCCAGAATTTGTTTTGTACTCTGATGAAGATTTAATTTCCTCATGTTTACCATATCTGAGTAATTGAAATTTCTCATCATTGAACTTCATATTGTTTTCTGCAGCCCACTGAAAGATTTGGTTGATGTCCACCTGGAGCCTTGCAGTGTCTGCAATGGAAGACACTGTCATGCAGATTCAGGTGTCATCTGCAAAGGAAGACAAAGGTGCGTGGCTGACATCCTTTCTATGTCAGATAGAGGATGGGAACAAAATGGGAGTTTGGTATCTTTATTTC